CTTTGCTGAGACAAGACAATATTTTATAGGGAGAAAAAAGGATGTAACTGAATCCTGGGGCAAGAGGGTCAGTGGCTAGACCTAGACACCTTCAAAGGGTTGATGCCTGCTGACCTTGACCTTTGTATCAACCATATATTTTTAGAAGGCTTTCGGGGCAGCTCTGCCTCATCCGAAGACCTCTAGGAAGGTGAGCAGCCAGCGCGGGAGGAGTTTGGCATCTGCGGGGAAAGGTCCGTGCGGCGCCCTGACGGGCGCTGGCCTGCGGGGGACGAGGGGTCTTTGCAAGCCTTTGGTGGGGGCAGCCTGCTGTCAAACCAACGCGTCTTTGAGGAAAGTGTGGGGAGGCAGCAGTGCCCGCGGCAGGGTGGGGAGCAGGGACGGCATTGTCCGTGAGGGGCTATGGCAGGGGTGGTCTGGGCGCTCCCGTGCCCTGGGGGCTTGCGGAGCCGGTCTCGGCACTGGGGACAGCTGGCTGGGGCTTTGGGCAGCTCGACATTCAGACATGTTGTTCTTCATGCAACTGTGGCTTGAAACTGTTACATTATTGCAGTGGTAGCTTAACTTTCTAAATATTCAGATATATTAATTTCTAGGATGACATAAAATGCTTTTTTATGGACTGTGTGCACGTAGGTAACGTATTAGAGAAGTTAGCCAGTTTATCTTTAATTAGAAAATCTTATAAGCCTACTTAGTTTGGCTGAGTTTTGGCCTTCATTTAATACCATGGAACTGCTTGACAGCAAATTCTTGTAATCCACAAAGTTACTTCACTGCAGTGCAAAATTGAAGCATTAGGGCTTCAATCCTCAATTCATGCCTGAAGGAGAAACCTCGGAGATCCTGTGAACTGTTTTTCCTGTGTGCTGTACACAGTATATCCCAATATAAATCGCAGAGCTCATCTGTGTTTGTAGCCGCCTGTGGAGCGTATTCTCTCCACGTTTTTAGAATTTGGAAGAACAGATGGTGAAAGCTTAGTCTAAATAAACTGAGTTCCAACCAGGGCTCTCAACATGAGTAAATCCTGGATGTTAAAACCTCAAAGACTCCAAGAGCTGCAGGCATTGCTTAGTGCTCTCTAAAACCCCACGTTTCTACCCTTGCATTAGCGTGTCCTGAAACGATGTGTTTCTGTATTTGAGGGTTCTGAGAAAATCCCCATCAACTAAGGCCGTGTACGAGCAAGAGGCATATGCTGGAGCAGCCATGGAAAAAATCACTGCAGCGTGCGCTGGGCTTTCGCACGGATCCTGGTCCTCCTGAGAAGTGGCGCAGGCTGCTCCGTGTCGCCTTTGGCGGGAGGCCGAGATGCTAAGCAAAGGATGAGGTCACCAGTGCTTATGCTTGCCCAGGGCTCAGCACGGTCCTAGATAGGTCCCTGTGTAGCTCTACTTATTTTATTTTATTAATAGACTGAGGGGGGTCAGTACTGCTTAGGTCTCCAGATTATTCCTTAAACAGTAGCTGAGTCATGCTGTGATGGAAATCAGTTTTGTTCTTTGAGTAGGGAGCTTATTGTGCTGATCAGATTAAGATGCATTTTAATGCTGCACTTTTGTTTTACTTCCAAGCCCTGCTGGGAGCAATGAGCATTTTGGCACTTCCTGTGCACTAATTTCATTGCGACTTCAAGGCTGTCATAGGCTTCAGCGTGAACAACTGGGTATTAGTCACTTCTGAAAATTAGATCCTTTAATTAGGAGCCCACAAATTTTAGGAGCTTAAGTTTAGACTCACTGTTTTAAAAAACTCAAGTTTAACATGAAACAAACTTTGGGACAGCCTTGGGCTTTTCCAGAATGAATTGAGTAGTAAAAACGAGGCAGGGGTTGTTCTCTGTGCCTCAGCCTGTTCTCCATTAGGTACCTGCATGAAACAGGAGAGAGGCGAAGGGAGGCTGCATGTTACCGATAGCTTCCTCATCTTCTGCAACGCTGATCACTAGGACAGAGCGGCGCAGTTGCACTGACTGTTTGCTAGTCCAGGTCACTCGCTTAGTGTGTGTATTAGTGCGGCAAATTCAGGGATGCTTGGACAACTTCTTGAGTATCTGAAAGTCATCACCAGGCATCCACTGCATCTTTAGAGCTGGGCCTATAGTACTCTTCCTTACTCCTATTTCAGACTGCTTAGAGTTTTTTAAAATAAAACATCTAATGTAAATCTTTGAGGTTATTTAGACAATACTCATCATACAACCAATTAAAAATCTTTAGAAGATAAGTCATATTAAATCAGTAATGAGCTGTGACCCTTTTAATTAAGGGCACCTACAAATCTCATTTTTTTTTTTTTAATAAATCCTGTTAACTAAGTTTTATGTGGTTATACAAAATGCTGTCAAGTTTCTGGGGAATAAACTGTTTTCCTCAGACTTTTGAATAAGGTAAGACATAAGAACTTGAATAAAAAAAATGTCTTTACTTTGTTTATGCAAACACATTCACGTACCATCAGCGCACACACCAGGACACGCTCTGAAGTGCGTCACTGCGGTTCCGTTCTTGGAGGGGGCTGCACGAATGTAAAAGAAGATTCCAAGAATATAGTTGTATGTGTCGAGGAGTAAAACCTCTGTAGCGGAGTTATAGGAGGGTTCTTCCTTGGGAAATCTGGTTGAAATATGTGCCTTTGGTTACAAACTTATGCAGGTAGCACCCCTTACGTGCCTTTGAAGCCAAAGTTATGTGATTGCTGGCAAAGGGGGGTTAGGATTGCTCTGTTGGAGCACCTAAAATGCATTAGGAGTTAGGGACGTTCCTTCCGTGTCCTCTCTCATTCACTTGATCTAAAACTTCAGCTTAGAGCTAGGCTGTTGTATTCACCAGTGAACCAGGTGAGGGTGAAGGCTATTCCTTTCAGCTTCTGGATCGTTAGACATAGTACTCTTTCTCTAGCTTGAAATCCTTACTGAATAAAGTAGCGGTATTTTATTTATGCCCATCTGCCCATGCTGCAGTGCACATAGAAGCAAACAGCTGTGTAGTAAAGAATGATACAGAGCAATAACTGAATACGCTCCTGGGTATACCCTACCACCACTCGTGCCAGCAGGATTTCAAGCCTTGCTGAGACCGCAGTAGGATGGTGTTAATTTGGCTTGCTCAGATTTGGAATCTGCTGAGGCCTGAAATGATATTTGTTTTTCTGTTCCTCAGCTGTGATTTTTGTAGGGGAATGATAGTGACCAGTGACACTGAATTAGGTAGGAAAATGTTGCCTGTGCTCTGACATTGGTGAAGAAAAGTGTATTCATGAGCAGAGTCCTTCCTATTGCGTGGAGCTTGTGCAGCATCTGTGGGCTGGGGCAAGAAGAGTCCCCTGCGAGCATTAACAAGCGGGGAGAGCTGGAGGGGTATCACTGGAAACGTGAAGACTGTTTTTTCCTGCAGAAACATAGGAGCTAGCCTTGACTGGGGGCTTTTCTTACACAGCAGTTGCAGTGCGCCCATGCTGGGAGCTAAGGAGAGCCCTGGGGAGCAGAGCCAAAGCTGGAGATGCAGGTTTCACAAAGCATCTCCCCTATGAGATCAACTTGTAGGAAAGTCCTTGTGCCTTTCCTATGGAAAAGACAAGCATAGGCCATTGCTTGGCACTGTGGCACTTGCAGACATCAGTTTTTGCTTTTCAAAGAGTCCAACTGTGTTTTTTCTACCATGTTTCTTGACACAGGCTGGGATGTCCAATAAGTTGTTTTGAATCTGGAAAAGTGAATTGCTCCACCAGGATGTTTAAGGGGATGGTTGCCTGGCCATCACTACACCTGGCTGTCCTATTTCTTTAACCCCTTGAAAAGGAAGAATAAAGAAAAAGACAAATATTCCATTGGCAGACAGAGTTTTCTTTCAGAAACTTGCACTTGGGTTTGCAATTATGACCCACACTTATATATGAAAAATGATAAAATATAAACAATATTCAAAGAAAACATGTTCAGATGCTTTGTGCAATTTTCTGGAATAGCAATGTCTACTAGGAAAGCTGATCGTTGAACTAAAGGAAGGAGGGGATTTCATGATCTGAAAACTAACTGGTACGTTGTCCAATACCATGGGCTAATTTAGTGCTTGCTCTGGGAATTTGGATCAACTAGAGATTTCTCAGGTTCTGAAAGACTGTTTATGAAATAAAAATGTTGACAAGCCTGTCACAGTTCACTAACCAGAACTCATGTCTGTTGGGATTATGCTGCCAGAGATGAGCTTGCTTGTGTTAAGTTACTTAAAAATGCTCTGAAGTGGTTTGCTGTAAGATGTTGAAAAGGGCCATCTTCCATTTCACTAGCAGGAAGTAGGGGAAAATAACTTTATCTTTAGAAATTGAAAAGCTTTGTCTTCTAAAGTGGTTATTCAGGATATTTTCTTCACTTTCTAAAGTGCATAATTAATATTTGTGTCCAGAGATTCTCCGTGTTGGTGAAAAGAGCCTTGAAAGCACCTTGTGTAAAGCTTATGTGCATCTGCAGTGCTTTCCTGAATCCTGGTATGTTTATGTTGTACCTGAACATACATGGGAATTGGGAGCCTTCAGACTCAGTGTTACTTGATGGTTGATAGCAAAATACAGATCAGCCTTCAAAGGAGAAGAAAATCCTATTGTACAGATTAGGGGACGTCCTCAGCCCAGCAAGGCACTTAATTTAAGTTGCTAACTGAAAAGGGTGTGAATTGTTCTGGTGGCTTCAGTGCGGTTACCTCAGCAGCTTAAGGTTACGCACAGGGTCGAGCGCTTTGCCAGGCTGCGTCCTACTGTAGTTACTGTGGAAAAGCTTGAGCTTTTTATGGAGTAACGTAAATGTTTGCTTCTAACGGCCCCCACTTTCAGTGAGGTTACCAGATGTTGCGCTTCTCTGGGAAAGTTATCATTGTAACTTGGTATTTTTAGTACAGTCACTTTTGGACTGGCTCTCCTGGATATTCAGGATTCGTTTGCTACTTCTAACTTTAGCCAAACACTCCCTGCAGCTGAGTATAAAATTTCAGTTATTACTTACTGAAACCTGAAAGGTTTAGCAATATTACAGATTTCCATCTATTCTAATGTTTTGGCCTTTGTATGCAGTAACTACGTTTTGACAATGTATTTTACATCACATTTTCCAAGCAGTGTTTTATTAGATTAAGTCAGATAGGAAGAATAGCTTCACGTTTATCATGAGTGACTTGCATGTTCAGTCAAACACTGTGTGATATTAAGTAGTTTAAATCTCCAGCCTATGAACTGTAAATTAACATTAAGGACCTCTCTTAATATCCATTACTCTGTTTAAACAGTCGTATAGAATTACTAGTTCCCAGTGATTCTTATTAGAACAAAAGATGTATTTGTATTCAAATGTTGTTTTGGCTCTCCTGAACCGTATGCTGTGAAAAGAATATCTTAAAATTAGGAAATGGCAAGACTGAATAGTGTAATGGATCACAGTCTTTTATTGTTACTTAATAGAAGTTTCAGGTTTGCTTGTTGCTCAAATTATTGGCTTTTTTCAAAACCAATCATGTTTTGCTTGCTGAGCATGGCCCCAGGGGATACATGCCCATCTTGCTGGGACCACTGACTCAGCTTCTCGACAGCCTTAGCATACGACGATCTGGCCTGCGAGGACATGAAGAACGAGCTCTCGTGTTGCGGGAGGTGACTTTCTCCACCAAGTAAGCCTTTAAGGCCAACAGATGGGACCGTGCGGTGTTTTCACTACTGCCTCTCCCTATTGCTCAACAGAGGATTTCAGCCCCCAGAGCTCTCAATTTAGCGCACATCACAAGTCTGAGGCGTTTGGACATTAGGCACAATAAATAAACCAGTACGAACCCCACAGAGCATGCCACAGGATGCGTTTCAGAATAGCTCTAAGTTAAGTGCAGGACTTCTGGTGAAGAGCTTGTCATTTCCAGTTCATGTAGCAGTTGTGAAAAACAGCTTTGCATCTTCAAAACATTGGTACAGAGTATTGGTTTCACTGTCATCTACGGACTGGAATCTGTGCTTCCTAAGGAAGCCTGATGAGTTTTACTTAATACTTTTGAGGATTGAAATCAGAAAATCAGGACTGCATTAGTCCCCATGATAATACCCTTCTCATTCTGTTGCCCTGTTTTCCCCTTGCTGGAGTGTGTCTCAACTGCTTGTCCTGCCTCCTGCTGTCTTTGCCGTCTCTTATTCTGTGCTGCAGCATGCAAAATAATACGCCATAAAACCGCACTTCCTCATCCTATCTCCGTTCCTTCTTGCAGCCCTCTGTGCATCTTTTCCTACTACAATGCAGCTCGACATGGCAAAGCAGCGAGGTGGAAATTCATTACTTTTCCTTGAGACTTGTTATCATGCCTGATTTCTACACCATGTGGGGACTAAGATCCTCTGAAGTTCCTTGATTAGTATTTGGGGGAAAAATAAAATGCCAGCTAAAGCTTCTGATCTCTCATTACAGCATATAGAACTCAGTGTTTGAATTTATGCTTTAAGCAGTTGCTATAGATTCATATCTAACCAGTAATTAATTAGTCCAGAAAAGAATGATGATAACTTGATTATATTTTAGTTTGTATTTCAGCTCCCATCTGTGGTAAAATCAAGACCTATTCAGCTTTATGATCGTTCATGGAGATGACTTTTGTTCTTATAGATTACAAATTTCTTTGCTCACTGTCTTTCTCTGTGTTAAGAATGACCTTATTAAAAACTTCTCATGGTTTAACTTTGTCACTTAGGTATACTTTTCCTGCACAGTGATAAGCAGCTTAGGGCCTGAGTTGAAACTTCTGAGGTGGGAAAAGGTATGTGGGCCAACAACAAAAGCCTGGCTCCATCCCTGTGTTTGTGGTACCCCGTTGATGTGTGCAAATGCTGGTCTGTACAAATGCTTGATAATAGCATATGGCAGTTAGCTGCATGTGGTTGACTATTCAGTTACTGCATTTATGCAGACACAATTGATACTTTCATATAAAAACCAAGAAGAGTGTTAGGTATCTACCACTGTCCTCCTGACTAGTGCAGCATTGAACACCCAACACAAACGCGTCAAAGTATGCATCTGTCCTTGGAGTATCCAGTTTTAAGGTATAGCTCTTTTGCAGGAATGTTTGATTAGAAACAACTCATATTCCTTAAACAATACAAAACCAAGCAGGTAGCTGCTTAAATCGAAGCATATGTTTAAAGTGAATCTACAAAACAAGAACAAAACTGTTTCCAGCATGCAAGTCGTGTATGCTGCGATGCTGTAATGACAAATGCCTTGTGCAATAATTGCTCTCTAAATAGTGGTCTTGCCAATTGAATGCCACAATGCAAAGGGGTCTGTCCTGGATTTCATTAGCTTCAATGTCTCAGATTGCACCAGGGTGCCACAGACTGGACAGTGGCAATCTGCGGGGCACCAGGCTATAAGGTGCGCTTTTTAGAAGGTACGTCTTGGGCTGGTTGTCTGGAAAAGGCCACGCTCTGTAAGCATGAAGGAGATTGACCTACCAAAAGTTTGAAGTGCTGCAACATGTTTTAAATATTTTTATACCACATAGTCACTGGACAAAGAATATCCCCCTACTCCCATATGAGTGTAATCGCTACTGGCATTTACCGGACTGGCTGTTTCCTCTTGCACACGCGCATGCTCACACACGCGCTTGCTCGTTCATCCTCTTTTTCCTCCCAGCTGCTTTTATAGATCCTTGCTAAGTGGGACACCCTCAACAGAGGAAGTGTCGAAGATGCAGTTTCAAAGCTCCACCAGGCAGAGGCGAGAATGGAGGCTGTTTCCGATGTTTTGGATGTAGGAAATCTTGATCTCAGGAATGCTGAGTAAAACGGCACCGCTGATCGAAAATATCTATGCTAGCTCTTTCTGAATAAAGCGTTCAGATGTTTGCGTCCTGGCTAGGAACCTCCTTGCAGCTTGTGTGGAGTGGTGGGCTTTGGGACACAGTCCCACTCCTTAGCTGTCTCCTACTAGCTGCCTTAAGCAGGGCATTTCTGTGCACAGGCTTTTGTGCATCAATTTACTTTTGTCCTTCCAAAGAAAGTGTAGGGAGTCTTGGGGCTGCAGAAACCTTAGGCAGCAAGAGATGTGAAATGAAGTTGGATGTTTCAACTCTGAGTATTGAGATGCCTGTGTGTGTGTGTGATTTGTTTTTTGTTTTTTTTTAAATCCATCTTAGTGCTCTGAAAAGAGGAGGAGCTGCTAAATACTTGCTCTTTTTATAAAGACTCCCCTACTTGATCTGTGGATCTACTTAGGGGCAGCTATGTGCAAAGTTGTGTGATCATGTGGGCATGAGTACGTTAGCCAGATATTTCTCTCCGTTCCCGTTGATTTAAGATCGTGGACAATGTTCATAGGCCTTGTTGCATGTGTGACTGAGGGGCATGATACAGTCGAGCATAATCTGAGGCAATATATAGCTATACTGTATTTACAATGGGCAGGCAGAACCCTACATCTTTTTCATAAGAATTGCCACAGTCAAAAACCTGAATGTTGTATGTATATGGGCGATGGTAAACTTATTCTGTAGGGGAACAGGGATTGAACTAGTAAGATTTTTCCTTCAATTTATGTGCTTAGTACATTTTTCTAGCCCTTCTTTGCATGATAGCGGGCCTTTTATTTCTCTTCTTTCCTTGAATTTCTTGCAATTACAATTACACTGTTCATGCCAATGAATTCAGCTGGGATTGACCTGGAGTGCGTTCAAGCTGGAGTTTGTACCCTCCTAATCCGAGGTCTCCTTCGTGAATGTCCTCCTTTCCTGGAGCCTGGGTGGAGTCTGTGTCCTGTGCTGGCGCTGGCATGCGAGCAGAGGCTTCATAGTTTGCCGTCAATTCATCATTATTTACGATATAATCTGTGTCATCATCCTTCAGCTGATCCTGTGCGTGTTAAACAGGGAGAAACGTCAGGGAGGCTCTGGAGGAGGTTCTTTATTAAAGACTAAATGAAGAACAGCTCTAATACAATTCGGCTTACATGTTGTTTCATTATTGGCTCTTTTTTCAGCTATTAATTTACCATATTGATCTCATCTTGATGTTGATCAGAACAAATAGCTCCTTACCACGTTCTGCTGTAGGGCAGCACTCAGAAACAGAACCTGCCATTCAGGCCTTTAAAATAATTTCAGTGCCTAAATATCACTGACGTCGATAGAATTAGGCAGCCAGTACTTTCAGCATCTGGCTGAATTATTTAAAACACGTCCCTTATATTTGAAGCTCTCAGTATTTGTGGCCACTTTCGGGAATGTAACACTGCACCTTCCCAGACCCCTTCTCTACAACCCTGAAAACCATCCATTTCTGAAAACTGTTCCCAGCCTGAAAAATAATAGGCTTTGGAAAAGGGACTTTAGCAAAGCTTTGCATTAAGCACAGTGGATTTTGGATTACACCCTAAACGCCATTAACTGAGCCAGGTACTTACGCCGTATGCCCTGGGGCTCGTCAGAAGCCTGGCGACAGGATTGCACCATTCGGGTAATGTTGTCGTAAGAGGTGGACCAGCGTGGGTTAAAATGGGTTTTAGGTATCTGTGAAGTTTGTTAAAGAATATCTTCCGTTTGGGTATTGATACTAACTTGCTCCTCTAATGCACAAGGAAATTATAAAGCATAAGGCAATCATCTAAATGAACGGAAACAAAGACAATAGCATATCTTTACCCACTCATTATTGCAGCCATTCACCTGTCATCAATCTTGTCTAATGTGTCTTTAAAAAAAAAAACCCCACGATGCTCAAAATCTGTCAGCGAGGGTGCCAGAGTGGCTCGAGCGGGTGCGTCATGGGGTGCACAAACGCAGAAGGAATGAAAGAGAGGAAACGTGCACCAGATCAGCCTGTTTATCGTTCCCATCTACTGTTTGCTGTTAGGATATGATCAATTGTAACAGAAAACAACTGAAAATGCAACTGAGTGAGCTACTTGTAAAAGTGCTACTGAACATTTTGTTTTCTTAAACATCCAGCTTCTTGTAAAAATCAGTGCATTTCTGCAATAGGCAAGGTGTATTTCATCAAATATTAAGTTTCCTTGCTGCTGGGAGTTTGCACAGGTTGTTCTCTGTGATACTTTATTTTCAGTATTCAACACATTTGTTTTACACTTCATACATCAATGCTCCTTTATATAAAATAATGTAAATAAGTTAGGAACAGGCTTTATGCTATTATTTTGCACCTGTCTTTCCAGCCTTTTCCTCCGAAAGGGCTTTATTGAGATAAAAGAAAAACCTGGCATCTTTAGCAATTATACCATCCTTGTATCTGTCGATAACAGCTCTCCCAAGAGTGCCTCAAGTTGACTTCTCTGTCTTGCTACTTTTACTCACAAAGTAATTTTCAGTGTTGTTGAGGAAGCAGGTCTGTCAGCGATTTTTGCTGCTAGGGAGAATTTTCCTTATTGATTGCCATTCCTCTCTCTCGGGCGCTCTCTGGCTCTTTTCCCTTGCTCTTTCTCCCTCTCTCTCCTTAAAGAGGAAAGGAAAATAAAAGTAACAAATGTGAACCTGAATGATGACTCTGAGCTCTGCAGAAATACTGTAGAAATACTGGGTTGGTAACAAAGGGCCTTAAACCTAACTATTGGAGAGCCTCCGTTTCTTTTGCTGTTGTTTGTTTATGGCTCATCACTGCTCTACGCGCCAAGTACAAACTCAGTCTCCTGAGAAAATCGAGTTACGTAAAGCAGCCCAACTATCTCAGTTACAGACTGGGGGGCTAGATAATCTACTCTGCACTATATAATTCAGCTGTAGAAGTTGTTTAATTGTATTTGGGTTTTTTTGTGTGTGCGTGTTTGTGGATTTTTTTTTTAATTACATTGCATCTGTTAGGAAGAAGGTAACGTGATTATTTCATCCAATGTCATATGCCGAATTAGCATGAAAAATGAAAGACGAATCCACTTCAAAAAAACCTGCAAGACTGCATAATAAAACTTGCTCAGAAGAATGACCTAGAAATGAAGGTGGGAATCTTATGGGATAAAATTGTGTTGGGAAAGCTCAGATCTTCCGCTTCTGTAAAAGTGACATCAAACCAAACAACCCTTTCATGATCCACTCCCAATTTTATTTGAAACCTCAAGAAAACCCTCCCAAAGTGCCAAGCGGTTAAGAGCTCTTGCGAAAGGCAGTGTGTGCGAGCCACCAGTTGGAGTTGCCTCGGCCTCAGCGCTTCAGAGAACATCACTAAAAGGTTTCACCTGCAATTGGAACCAGGAGCCCGATTCCAGGTTTCTAAATTTTGGCAGTACTGGCTCTGCTAGTACATGAATCGTTTGAAGTGGATTGTCAGACCCAGCATGAAAACCACAGGCTTGGTTGGACCCAGTCCTGCCTGCTGGTTTTATTCTCTTCCAGAATAAGTAACTGGAGATGAATGATCCTCTGCGTTTCCTCTTTAATCTGATGATCTCTCAGCTAGGCCTTTCTTCTAAGCAGCTTTATAACTTTATAATGAGCTTTATAACCCTCAGTACAACTTGAGCCCTGCGTTCCTCTGTGTGCAGTGTAGGCAGCACACGCGTGAAGCCCAGCGCATCAGAAAGAGGTGCCGAAATGGGCTATCCGCTCTGCCCGCACTGTGGTCTACAGTGGGGGATCCTCCCTGCTAAAAACATTTGTCGGCCCTGTTTCTGAGATTAGCTTGTGTGCGTAGTGCATTAACTGTTCAGTTGCTATGCCTGTGTGTTGAAGTTTCCAAGTGGTTAGTGAGGGAAGGCTTCGTTCGGGGCTGCAACGAGTCCTCCAAGTCCCCTTGCTATTGCGTTCGCTCCAACACGTTTATTCCCTACTGTCCGTGCTTGTGCTTTGCAACATCTTGAGATGCAGTTTAAAGTGAAGAGTTTTCTTGTGCTTGTTGAAGTGCTTCTGATGCTGTAATAAATTATTTACAGCTTTGTTCCTTAGTTAACTAGTTATTATTCAGCCCATTAAAAGACCTTAACTTGCATTAGCTTATTTTCATTGTTTTAATAATCTATGCCATAATGCTTTCACTTTGTTTGTGACAGTTGTTTTACAGCATTACAGACATAATTGTCCCTCAGTGCAGTATGAAAGAGGAATTCTAGTCTGCGCACAGCACTGGCGTTTGAAACGTACATCAGGTGTGCGTATGCAGCGTTTCAAAGCTGACGAGATCTTGGCACGCTCCAGCTGCTCTGGTTGCATCTTCCAGCATCTCCAGTGAGAAATAATTCAAATAGTGTGATAGAAAAAGGTAAATTTTGCACAAAGGCTGCTTTAAAAATTGGAAGAAAGTGCGTGTAAACTCTGAGCAAAGCTCAGAAATTACTGACTAACCAAATCTATGCCTTATCAACGGAGGGATGGGGAAAAGACAGCAGGGGAAACAGTGTATCAGGCAGTCCACATTTAGTCTCTCCATGGGCAGAACAGTCCCTCTGCACAGCGTGAACGCTAAAGCATACAACATAGTGTGTTGAAGTACATTATTAATATTGTAAAGATGACAATTTTGAAGTTGGGAAACTGGAATTTGGGATGCCCGTGGGAGGATTCGGTTCCGTACGCAGGGCTGGTGTGCAAACATGCCTCTACTTCCATGATCAAACGCTAATTTTTCTGTGACTGCCCACAACTTGGTGTTTCTACTCTCAATTGACGTGTGCAGAAACGTTCAGCCTGGGGCCCTTCACTGCTAGGTGAGCACGCCTTTGCCCATGCCGTTCCAGCCTGCCCTCCCCGTATCCAGCTCTGCTTTCCCTTCCCTGGTTCAATTTCTGCCTTTTCTAAATCTGAATCATTTGACTTCCTCTTCTGTACTGCTCAGCAATAAGCAAGGAAGTCGGTGCTACCTCAGAAAAGAGGGTCAGCAGGACAGCGCTTCCGGGGTCTCCGCCGTAGAGGGCCAGACGGGGTGTCTGGCCAGCGCAGCGTGAGGTCGAACCGCACGAGGTTGAGCAACTCTCGGCAAGGGCAGAGCATGCTCGGGGTGATCGGGCCTTCTCTGAGCTCTTGCAGTAGAAGTTTTTGTTAAAAGTATACGGGCAGCAGTTTTTTTTCCCAAGTTTCACTAACTATGGTCTAGCTTAGGCTGGCTTTTCAAAGAAATGGCAAAAGACACCTCCAGGGTGCCATTTGAAGTCTTTGCTCTAAATATAGACCGCTTAAAATAATGTCTTGAGGATTTATCAGAGCCAAGCATGGAATTTTCTGTTTTTGTCCTAAATCATTCTGCCTAAAACAAACATCTATCATGGCAACTTTCCTTTCAAATAGCTACTGTTTCACAAAATTGTAGGTAATCCAAACTAGAGTCTTAAAATGAGAATTGTCAGGCAATCTTGATGGGAAACACTACTATACCTAGCCATGCTACATAATATTTAAAATTTCCATTCTGCAAAAAAAATTTAAGATTTCAAAATAGTCTTTGCCCTCATATCAGGATGAAAAATCAGAATCTCAAAATTTTCTTTCAGGAAATTGGAAATGACTACATTTTGATAAATGGGCATGTTTTGTCCAAATTTGGAGAATGCTGGTAAAATTCTTATTTATACTTTTGACCTAGTGGTATCAGCATGATCAAACAGAAAAAAACGTGCTGGCAGAAATGATTTGGCTGTTTTGACTCTAAGACCTGAAGGAGGTTCATTTGCGGCAGAATGAGTTTTAGTCCAGCTGTGAAGTTCTGAGTTGCTCTGCTGAAAAGCATAGTAATGACAGCTGTGCCCTGACTTACTGCATGCTGTCTGCAAGTTTTGAGAAGAAGTTAATTTATAGTTTGCAAGCAAATCACGCGAGCAGAAGAGGTGGCCGCAGTTTGAAATGCATATGGCAGCTCTGCTTTGGCTCCATAAAAGCCTGTGTTTGGCCCCGAAGGTGTGTGCTGTCTTTCGCCCCATCATGTAATGATGGCTCTATAGCTTCTCCCCCAAAATGACTACAATAGACTTAGAGTACAATGTATACTATTAAAAAGCCCCAAACTACATGAGTTTTTGTAATGCTCATCAAAATTATATTACAAAATCACAAAATTGTTTTTCAGGGACTAGCTTCCTTTAGTTAGCAAGCAAGCTGTGCTATAAATACATATTTGTTGCAAGTATATCATTTATCTTCCATTATTAGGTATTATTTATTCTGTAGGTGTAAGTCCCTGGAGGTAAATATCAGCACTCCCAAAACCTTTCCTTTGTGCAATTTGTTTAAGGATTTCTTGTAGTTTGCAACCTTTTATTCTAAAGGGTCCCTTTTGTGGATGTTTTGATTGAAATCAGTTTGTAAATTAGGGTTATAAGTGTTTTTCTTCTGTATTTATGAAGGGACACATGTAAGAAGGATACAAAGGAAAAGATATGATTTCTGTCCCTTCAAAATGTTTTCCTTATTATGGACAAACGATCTTTTGTTCCTTAGTGAAGTTTCAATTTTTAGAGAGAATGATTTTGATACTAGCCACGTGGTAGCCCAAAGAGGCAGCACTTCCCTTTAGGCAGCGTTTGTGCGAGAGCAAGCGAACCGCGAGCGGCGGTAGCCCGGCTGGGCTGCTGCGC